CAGGCTTCCAAGTATCGTTGTTAACATATTCTCTTTGTTCGCAAATATGGTACGATGGCTAGTCAAAAATTAATAAGTGCTCTTCGTAATTACAACAGATTTAGAAAAAAGCAATACCTGTTATTCTTAACTCACAACAGATTTAGAAAAAGTAATAACTGTTCTTCTTTAATCAAACAGATTTAGAAAAAGTAATATATCTTCTCCTTTAATTAAAACAGATTTAGAAGAAGTAATACCTGCTCTTCTTTAATTATAAGAGATTAGGAAAAAAGTATACCTATTGTTCTTTAATTAAAACAGATTTAGAAAAAGTAATGAGTGTTCTTTAATTACAACAGATTTAGAAAAAGTAATGGCCCTTCATTAATTAAAACAGATTTAGAAAAAGTAATAACTGTTCTTCTTTAATTAAAACAGATTTAGAATTAATACCCGCTCTTCTTTAATTACAAGAGATTTAGAAAAAGTAATATCTATTCAGTTCGACATTCCAACCACCTGAAGAAGGCTAGAGCGTACAACGGCCAAAACATCGTAATAGATACGGCGACAAAGATGAGCACAATAGTCCGAATAATATAAATAGTGTTTTAAAACCTTTTGTAATGTTTTCTTAACCAAATTTAATTTGGGTGTTAATTATATGAAAACAGCATAAATTTACTCATTTAAAATGGAAAAAAAAGAAAAACAATGAAATAATTTTATGATCATAAAATATATTTTTCGTTAATATTATTCATCCGAGATTAATCCAGTTCTGACGTCATGCTGATGCCAACGGCTGTTACAAGTAAATTTATTAAAAAAAAAAATACAAAAAATGTAACCAGCTATAGAAAAGATCCGACGAATATTAATTAATTAAGCAATTACGTTACTGGATTTCAAACAAAATACAACTGACCTTTTATTTAAAATATATTAAAATACGTATTTGTTTACTGCGGGGGGGTGTCAACAATTTGAAGCCAATAGTTAAAATATCCTACTTTTATTTATACACCTATCATGAGAAAAATCATCGCACAAATGAAAAAAAGATTTGACAGTCTTAGGGGGATATCTATCATCAACACATCTGTCATCGCCACCACACAGACCAAACCTAATAATTTTATTACCATTGAAGCAGAAATTCACTTTTGCCAACAGTCCAAAAATGAGATCAAGGCTCACTACAAATACAGAAAATGAACAATGAAACATTAAAAGAATATAAGGAAATTTTATTCCCTCAAAAACAGATTTCTTTAATTTGCCTGAAGAAGGTCACGAGACCGGAAACCCGTGTAGCAGAAATATGAATAATAAAATATAATATATACATAAAACAAATCCATATTATAACCAATAACGTTTGCGGTTTCTCTTTTTTTTAATATATATCTCTCTCGTTGGAACAATTATAACCTTTTTTCATATATATATATATATATATGTGTATATGTGTGTGTGTGTGTGTGTGTGTGTGTGTGTGTGTGTGTGTGTGTGTGTGTGTGTGTGTGCATGTGCGTGTGCGTGTGTGTGTATATATATATATATATATATATATATATATATATATATATATATCGTCCTGGGTATGACGATAAACTACACCCGGCAGCAATGCCTCTGATCGGGAGGTTATGAGCAGCGTGGAACCACATTTTAATTGCTGTTCTTTCCAGGTCCACCTTCACCTGGGGTGGTGGCACCTGTTAGGGTTCCAGCTATGGGCAAATAGTTAACATCCAAACTGGAGCCAAAACACTAGAAAGTTTAAAAATACATTTTTATATTGAAGATGCCAGCAATATATTTTCATAGTAAAAAAAGTTTAAAATATTTCTATTAATTGAAACGTAATTTCTATTAATTTAAGAATTAAAAATAATTCTATTGATTTAAATATTAAAATATTTCTATTAATTCAAACGCAAAATATTTTGATTAATTTAAACGTAAAAATATTCCATTAATTTAAACGTTATAAAGATTTATATCACATTCAATGATAAGCATATTTCCATTAATTTAAACTTTAAAAATATTTCGATTAATTTAAAAGTTTAAAATATTTCGATTGATTTATAAATTAAAATATTACGATTAATTTAAACATTAAAAATATTTCTATTAATTTAAACGTTAAAAATATTTCGATTAATTTTAAACGTAAAAAATACTTCTGTCACTTTAAATGTTAAAATATTTTTGTTAATTTAAACGTTAAAATATTTCAATTAATTTAAATTTTAAAAATATTTCTGTTAATGTAAACATTAAAAATATTTTCATTAATTTAAATGCTAAAAATATTTTGATTAGTTTAAAACATTTGCATTAATTTAAACGTTAAGAATATTTCAATTTTTTAAATGTAAAAATATTTTTATTTAATGTAAATCCTAAAAAGATTTCTATTAATTTAGACATTAAAATATTTCGATTAATTTATATAAAAAAATATTTCCATTAATTTAAATGTTAAAAATATTTTGATTAGATTAAAATTTTTAAAACATTTGGATTAATTTAAACGTTAAAAATATTTCGATTTTTTAAATGTAAAAATATTTTTATTAATGTAAATCCTAAAAAGATTTCTATTAATTTAAACATTAAAATATTTCGATTAATTTATATATAAAATATTTTTATTAATTTAAATGCTAAAAAGATTTCTATTAATTCAAAGGTTAAACATATTTCCATTCATTTTTTTTGCTAACAAATTAAACTTTTTTTATAAAATAAACATCGAAGCATTTATTTAAATCTCGTAATTGATTTTGAATCGATTCAAAAAAAAATAAATTTGTGTGTATACTTGATAAAATTTGGCAATGAACAATTTCTAATTGATTTTTTGATGTAAGATTTCAAACACTGGCAAACAGACCTTTTTTGAAAAAATTCTATTTCCTTACTAGAGGTGCTAACCAAAGAAGCCCTTAAAAACTTATTAAAATAAAAAAAATTTTCTAACTTTCTGGGATGGGAATTATCATTACATTGTTTAAATGCGGTCTATTGTCCTCATCATTATTATTGTTATGACAACGTTTCAAGCGTTCTGCTGTCTGGCCTTCATCAGGTGTATGTCGATTCGAGTAACCTACAGAGACTTCCGAACTGAACCCTTTATGAGGGTACATTTTTCTCGTTTCACTGCCCATTTCTAGGGATATCTCATCTAGTTCTCAGTTATTACCCGCCCTGTTTCCACTGAGTCCATGCCCACATCACCCGGCCCAGGGATTGAACTCACAATTATTATGTCACCAAATTCACGAGCCAACGTTTAAATCCATTAGGCTATTGTAATATAATTATCTTTTTAATCAATTCACCCCCACCAAGTAAGGCGATAAAGCCACTTAGACACAAGGGGACTACTGGGAGTGAAAGAGAATGAGAAGTCTTTAGAAGGAACTGGAAACCCAATCCTAAACAGGAAACCAAGGATAAACCTCTACTCCTGTTCAAAAGACTTAGGAGGAGTGTAAACCGGGCGATAGGCTGACCTATCTACTTCAAGACTACTATTAGTGAGAGCAAAAACGATTACCGCTTACAGGATGAACCATGTTAAAAAAATTGCTGACAGTGGTGTATATATATATATATATATATATATATATATATATATATATATATATATATATATTTACATTATTCAGTCTATTGTCCTCATCTTTGCCGCCATATTTATTACAACGTTTCAGCCGTTGTACGCTCCGGCCTTCTTCAGGTGGTTGGAATGTCGAACTGGACCCTTTATTTCTCTCACTAGGGTAGACTATTCTAGTTCCACGTATAATATCCGGTTAACACAGTGGAAAACTTGGGGAGGGAATTAACAGGAGATAACTAACAACTGACATCCATTAAACATGGCAGGTGGAACTAGAACAGTCTACCCCAGTGAGCGAAATAAAGGATTCAGTTCGACATTCCAACCACTTAAAGAAGGCCGGAGCGTACAACGACCGAAACGTTGTAATAAATATGGCAACAAAGATCAGGACAATAGTCTGAATAATGTAAATAGTGTACATAATACCTCATCTCAGAAATATACATATATATATATATATATATATATATATATATATATATATATATATATATATATATACATATGAGCCAGACAAACCTACTTAGGTTTCACCTAAACGGATCGTCAGGGAAAGTCAAGCTATATATATATATATATATATATATATATATATATATATATATATATATATATATATATATATATCTGTATATGTGTATGTATATATATATATATATATATATATATATAATATATATATATATATATATTTTATTAGAGTCAACGTTTACAAGGCCTTGGGGCAACTCGAGGTAGAGGGTTACACTTGAAGGCCATTTGTGGGTATAGGTGTAGGAGATAACGATTAACCCTAGCCTTGAATAGGTTATGGTTGTAGTGATCGGGGAAACATCCTCTTGGGAGTCGATTCCACAGCGAAGTCGTTCGCGGATAGAAGCTTCTCGAGTGGAACTTCTCACCAATGGAATACAAAGAGAACGTAGGGGGTTTTCTACCATCTGAATGGCATGGCCGTATTCTTGCCGTGAAGGTTTGCCTTGGCGGGACCAGAGAATGTATATCGTCCGACCACTTTCCATAGAAGTAGCGGTCGAGATGCATATTGCTTAGAAATTAATTTTTTGTCGTGACTTATGTAAGAAATTCATGGTTGATTACAATCAGAAAGAGACAAGTGAAATGTTTGTGATACCTGATGAGTACAGAAGGCTTAGAGAAATGAATACTCATAAGGCACGCTAAAGACAAGAGAACAAAAGGAAGAGAGGTGATAAATTACTTGACAATTTTGAACAAATGACTGCAGGAACAAGAAATGAAGCCATGATCCTCTACGGCTAAAGAGAGAAAGAAAGAGAGGCAAAGAGAAATATATAGGGTATGAAAGGGAGAAGGATAGAGAGAGCATAATTTGACACAGGTTGAAAAGTGACGGTGATAAACGCGCTCGCTCTTTCTTTCTTTTCTTTCTTTCTTTTTTTCTATTCTTTCTTTTCACCTAATCTTTTCTTTCATTACTTTCTTTCTATTCTTTCTCTTCATTCCTTTTTTCGTTTCTTTTCTTTCTTTCTTTGTTTCCGTTTCTTTTCTTTCTTTTTATGCCTTCTTTTCTTTTCTTTCTTTCTTTTCATTCTTTCTTTCTTTTCTTTCCTTCTTTTCTTTCTGTTTCGTTTTTTCTTTTTGTTCCTTCTTTCTTTTCTTTCTTCCCTATCTTTTCTTTTCGTTCTTTCTTTTCTTTTCTTTTCTTTCTTTCTTTTTTTCTTTTCTTTCTTTCTTTTTTTCTTTTCTTTCTTTCTTTTCTTTCTTTTCTTTCCGTTTCTTCTCTTTCTTTTCGTTCCTTCTTTTTTTCTTTCCGTTTTTCTTTCTTTCGTTCTTTCTTTTCGTTCCGTTTCTTTTCTTTCTTTTCATTTCTTCTTTCTTTTCTTTCTTTCTTTCTTTCTTTCTTTTTTCCGTTTCTTTTCTTTCTTTTCGTTCCTTCTTTCTTTTTTTCATTCTTTCTTTTCTTTCTTTCTTTCTTTTCTTTCCGTTTCTTTTAATTCCTTCTATCTTTCCTTTTCGTTCCTTTCTTTCTTTCTTTCTTTCGTCAGGATGTGTATTTTGCCAAACTGTGCACTTTCCATCTGTACCACACACTATGATCGTCTCCTCAAGATAATATTATCAAGAAGTCTACCATAGTGAGATTCGAACCCGGGTTCCATAGTCGAAGCATTTGCACAAGAGGAAAGTTTTTCACAGTATTATGGTTTTGTGAAACTCGCTAGCTAACCGTATAAAATTAGGAAATAAAATTCACGCACAATAAGAATATGTATCCACCTCGGGAAAATCGAAATAACATACATAAATAAATAATATTTTAAAAACCTTTTCATGTTGATTCGAATTAACATCACCATCGTGTTTTTTATTCTTTTGTTTTTCTCTCCATTTTTTTTTTTTTTTTCTAACTCCAGACGCCATTAATTCAAACTTGGTCGCCTTCACAGAAAAAAAATGGTATCTTTCTTTCAGTATTTGAAGCCAAACATCAAGATTGGAGGAATCTTTATCTTCTGATGAACATCTCCGAGCAACTGGCTTAAAGGCGTTAGATTTGCAACCACCATAAAGCCCAATAGATAATACATATTTATAGCCTAGAAAAAGTTGAGTTTCATATAAACCAGCACGATGTAATTAGAATGGAGAGTCGTTGTACACGTTTGATTTACAAGGTATAATTATACACATACATACATACATACATACATACATCTATCTATCTATCTATCTATCTATCTATCTATCTATCTATCTATCTATTTCTGTCATTTCATATCTATCTATCTATCTATCTATCTATTATCTAAAACTGTAAATATCTATCTATGTATCTATCTATCTATTTCTATTTCGTCATATCTATCTATCTATCTATCTATCTATCTATCTATCTATCTATCTATCTATCTATCA